CCACAGATGCGACGTGAGGTCGAGCGTTATCGTGCAGTAAAACTACATTGACTCGTCTTCGTCGTTTTTTCTTGATAGCGGCAGATAATTTGGTAAGCTGGGTTGAATATTTGTCAGCGTTTATAGTTTCATTGTGTAATAGCTCATAAAACAGTATGCCTTGCGCATCCCAGAAACAGCAAAGCAGAATTTTTCGGCGGTTCTTTTGACTCGGCTTCGGTTGAGTTGGTGGCGTTTCTTCTCGAGGCAGCCAAAAAGCACGACGTGTATCGTTCTCGTAATAAATCCATGATTCATCTCCAGTAACCAGATCTGACAAAAACTCTTTACGTCGGGGTCGCAGCAAAAGTGACTGACAGTTTAAATACTAATCCAGACCTAACTAATATCGCAGTGATTTAATATAATAACGTTTATGAGGGTATATTTCTTTGCGATTTTATTCATTTGCCAAACATAACGTAACGTTTTATAACGACCTAAGCTTTAATAGGTGTTCTAAATTTGAAAATTTAATTTCAAATTTATTACTAAATCAGTAGTACATCCAAGATAACGTGAGCTAGAAAAGCCTGGGGATATATACTTTAATTATTCGTATAATTTTGGCTATTTCCGGAGAAAATTTTTCGACGTAGGGTACATAGGCCTCATTTCGACCAATTAATGTAGTTGGCAAGATTTGGCACAACAAATGAGCGTTCGGAGAAGTAATTTGGGCATCAAAAAATAGTGATTTTATATATAATTATATAGCTTGATTAGTCAGATAAATATTTTTAATATTTAAAATTCTAACGTGAAATTGCCGATTTGATTATGCCGTCAATGGTGAAATGGCTAAATGCTGTAGTTGAAAATTCCGCATTTAGATTATCAACTCCTAAACAATATAAAGTAATAGATTATTGTCAAAATAATATTAAAATAAGTAGTATATAAATTTAAGCCGTGTTACACAAAACGCTTTAAACCTTCAGCAACGTTTTGCTATCAAACAGCAGACCAGTTTTTGTAAAACAAAATGCAGTACTTGGGCATGTACAAATTTTTAATCTGCGACTGCGACCACACAAAGTCACGCACATCACATTTGACAAAACCAATCAATGGGAACCAAAATTGGCCCGATGCACTTTCAGAATACGTGATTGGCGAACTAATAGTACCTGTGGCCCGTAATTGGTCAGAGTATGCTGACCAGGCGACAGCGTTTGCTTTCTCTGATTGTCTATGACTTTCGCTGATTTTCTATTTTTTTCGTATTTTCCTAAATGGTCTTCTAATACTTATTTGTGTTTGTATGCTTCTATCTGATAGGTAAATCTAGAAATATTGTTTAAAAAAGTACCTAGATTTTTTTGCTACTAAGAGATTCATCTCATTTTTGTCATATAAATCGAAGAAAATATAACTTTTACTAAGAGGGCATTATAATAGTTAATTATTATATAAAAAAAAAATAGTATTAAGTAAGGAGGTTATTACAAGTAAAAAAAAACTATATTAACGCGTTTTATAATATATACATCACATGATATCTCTTCCAAGAAGCTTATAAATAACCTTTTTGTATTCTTTACTTATCACAATCGACATATGACTTGTTATAGACGTCCAAACTTTATTCAAAGTCACGATATCGTTATTAATGGCTTCTAAATTAAAACTTCGCTGTTGGACGCTGTTTTTGTGCCATAAAATTTCAATGTCAGCTTCAAAACGATCGACAATTGTTTAATCAAATAAACGTTACGTGTACATACAGATTAAGGCTTTATAAATTGTCTATGGTCATTTGCAGACAAAATTCGATAGATCGCGCCAATTTCAAATGTCAAAAACAGCTGAAGTTTGAACTAAGCTAAGAATAGGTGTACACGTTAAATGATCCAATAAGGTTTGATTGTTGTTATTGTCTTTGTTTTTATTTTGATTTTTTTGTTTTTTAAGAGAAACTGTTAATTTTCAAAGAATAGGACTGGTATAGTTCACTTTACTTTTTGGTTTTTAGTTATTATTCTAAGTTATGCTCTGATTGTTGGTACTATTTAACATTTTTTTCTAATTTTATTTTCTTCTAACAATTTTAGAATTTATTTTTATATTTGACTGGTGTCTTTCAATGAATATGTTCAGTTAGTTTAGAATAGTTTAGATGGTCTCCAAAGAGTACTTTGTATATGATGCTCTCTTTGATTTTATCTTGTATATTTGAATAGATTTGAATATTTTATTTTATCTTTTTGACGTTCGACTTCACATAGGAATATTTTACTTATGTAAATACTTATTTTTAGTACTGCACAAAGTTATTATAGGTATACTAAAGACTTGTTATCTTATTATAAATACAAAGAAATACAATTAAACTAATGACAAGGCAGCATGGTCTATGATCTTAGCCTGTTCCGAAGGGAACGAATTAAAAAAAAAAAAAAACTAAGCTAAGAAATACGTTTCCTGCATACAAAGTAGTAATTTTGTATGCTTCAACTGAATCCACGGTTAGTCGCAAATTTAGAGAAGCAAAAGCGGTCATTCGGAATCGTGTCTCGTCAGTAATCGTCTGTCCTTGTCACAACTGTTGTGTCGTAGTAATGTTGTCCCGTTTTTCCGTCATCTACTTGAATTATACCGTTATTACGAGTTGCTATTTTGAGTTTTGTGTCATACAGCTGATCTTATGACGTTTGGATTATGATCTAAAGTGTTTCCTTTAGGAGAATATTTAGATTTGTCTATTTATAGGAGTTTGTAACTGTAATAACTACCTATGTAGCTAGAAAGTAGTTCAACTATGTAATGTCCTAATTTCTACTTATAGTTGGTTAGAATCACAAAATAGGCACTAAGGGATCAAGAATATATTTATGAGAATATAAAGATACCGTGTTTAATTATACTCCTACATTTTTTTCAGATTATTTGCTATTGTAATTTTTACTGGAGTGATCAGTTTCTTTTCAACTTACTATTACCTTCCGAAATCGTCTAACTAATGTTGGCGATGATATTGCTCCAAAAATAATCTAAAAAAATTTTTTTAAATAAATGGATGTAAAAAAAATATTTTTATACTTTTTAATTATATTTTTAGTCTATTTTCTTTTTAATTCCAAGTCACTACTTATTTAAACAAAACTTAACTGATGGCTTAGATGGAATTCGTGATATTTCGACTAGCTTTTAAAATATTTCTACTATCTATTTATTCTAACATTATGGCGAAGAAGGTAACGATTTTTTTCCCCGCTCTATTTCAAAGCGCTTTTGTGACATCATAAATCACAGGCAGCTGATGTTCCTGTGAATTTATTTGACAGGGAGATCCAGCTGTATGATTACTCATAATGCTGCTTAGTCTTGTGGATTCAATATGGCGCTTTTTAAGGTTCCATACCCAAAGAGTAAAAGAGATCCTATAACCCACTGCGCTGTCCGTCTTTCCGTCTGTCACTAGGCTGTATCTAAAGAAACGTAATATTTAGACAGTTGTAATTTTCATAGATATCTGTGGGCGTTATAACAACAAATATTAAAAAACAGAATTAAATAAATATGTATTTAAGGGTCTATCGTACACCAAACGTGATTTTTTTATAGATATGAAACCCTTCATGAGCGAGTCCGACTCACAATTGGCTGTTATTTTTTAATGCCGATTTGACGTAGACGTCAACGTCCAACTTTTATGCGTTTTTATAATTTGCTCTGTGGACGTGACTGGTTGGGGACAAAAGGCAATAATATGTCAATTTTAATAGGTTTTCCTTTTTATAATTACTTTGTATTAACAGTAAACAGGAGCATCTGTCCTTGTTTGCGGTAATTTCAGAGATAAAATAAAAATAATACTCCAAAAAAAAATCTGCCAACATTTTTTAGAATTATTAGTTAACTTTAGTTATCCATACAAATGGATAAGTATAATTTAATACGAAAGGATTTCTTGTTTCTTTATGTATGCCTGTTACATTGCACGCCTAAACTACAAAACAATTTGAGGAAATTTGGTACCTAAACATATATAGTGGATTTTGACAAAGGATAGTTTTTATCTCGAAAAATAGGTTTATACGGATTCCAAGCAGACGAACCCGTGGGCGGAAAGCTAAGTCTCTAAAATGGAATAATGCGATTCATATATTTGTGCGACTTTATCAATTCACTATCTCAACTGCCACAGACAGAGGGCGCCACTATCAAGTTTGTGAGTCGGTTTGATAAAATATAGATCATGAGCTGAATCTCGCTGACATCAATGTGCAAATAATACTTATTGTCTATGAAGTGTCGCCTATTCCACCTACGCTCCTTGTATATTGGTAGGCTGTCGATGTTTTTTGGCCCTTATTTAGAACAACACTAAAATGGTCAGTGCTTTGTGTAAATGACCTATCCCAACTTTGCCTGATTCCTTCGGAAGCGAGCGTGATTGGAAGTTGTGTAATAAAATTATCCGCGTATTTTATCTTATGTTTGTTTCAAATCTTAAATATAGGCAATACGTTTGTTTGAAATAGATGTAACGGTTTAAATTTACTTATTTTATTTTTTTTCCTACCTTCCATTATTTTTGACATTCATTTTAAAAAGCCAAAGTTAACTATTCCATATATATTAGTATTGGTAAATAAATCTTTAAATTTGTAAACACACAACACATACAACAACGTCTGGATATAAACAAAAATTGTGAACACGCGACTTATACTAGCGGCTACTACAGCCGCTACGCAATAATGATCTTTAACGCCCAGTATTACGGTCGCATTAACAGAGACCTTGATCGGAACCGCAAAGGAGGCGCCCATTTGCCCATTGTCACAGCAAAGGTTTTTGTTCCAAAAACGACACTTAACAATGAATTGTCTATGAGAACAGCATAAAAACAAAAGACAAACGGCATTACGGTTATGACTCACGGTATCGGTTCAAACGTTGCAAGAGAAAGCGTTAACACTACTGAGCAATAAAAAAAAAACGCCAGCGCTCACCTGACTGTTGTAGCAGCTCAACACTCGATTTCACTCAACAATATCGTCCAAAAGTCCAAACTTTTTACGATCAGACAGCTGCAGTAACACACAAAACAAAATACTGACTCGTTCACTCTTTACCCGCAAGAGTTTGCAGCATAAACTTTTATATAACTGTTGTGGCTACTTCCTATTATACGAACCGGTTTTGTAAAGATAAAACGTCGTGTAAATATAGTAAACACACAAAATATATGTTTTAGTTGTTATAGATGCTAAGATACCGGTTTCTATTATGTTTATTGTAACGTTTTTGATTATTGGCGTGTGGAAAAACGTGGTATTTCAACGGAGCAACACAACACAACGCCTCGGCACACGGCTCTTGACTGTCCGTGTCCGCACGAGCAGAGGTAGCAAACGGTGTTACCAGGTTGTACTAGGCTGTACGTCGCTACAAAGTTAAACTTAACAGCCATTACATCAAAGTTGACTTAACATCAACCTTAATTAAAGCACGCAAGCATTAAATTTCCCGAGACAACTATGCAAAATAGCTTTGTTATCTTTGTTCAAAGTTACAATCATGATAGGGCGCGTACAAAGGAATATTTTATCGCTTTTTGTAACAACTAAAAAGTCATACATAATTGAATGTGATTGTGTGAAAAAAAATAAAGATTTCACACGTTTCAATGCTTAGATGATAGTTTCCTAATTGAGGCTTGTACACCTGTACACTGATAAGCTACTGTGTCTAAAGTGAAGAGATAAACTTCGCTATAGGTAAAGCATGTTTATTATAATAATGTATGGTCTAATATACATTATAATAAATATGCTTATGATAGTTTAATACATAATTGCATTACCAAAGGTAGGCATCCTAAGGGTAGTTAACATTTTTTTTAATAAACAAATAATGTTATGCAGAAAATAAAGTTAATCGTACTTTTCCGAATGTAATATTTATTTATCTAGTCGATTTAATTATTGATATTACATTAGTATTTATTTGTACATAAACATACTACTCAAATATTGAAAACGCTAAAGTTTGTGAGGATGTATGTATATTTGTTCCTCTTCATACAGTTAAACAGTTTCTTATGGACGCAGGCGAAGCCGCTGGCGGAAAGTTAGTTATATAAAAAGTCAACGTTAAATAAAAATAAATACTCCATTTATATTTTGAATGCCATTTTTAAAAATAAATCTAATGCGTTTATAATTATTTCAGGCTAGTTAAGTGAAGTTAAACAAATAATCTTGGATAACTCAATTTTTCGTTGCCAAAATTTTCAGAACACTGTTGTGCTTTGGTTGGTCCTAATATTCAAAATCTTAAAGTCTTGTTTATAAATCTTGTTTTGGCTAAATCATGAGCATTCAATGAACTTATTTTTTTTCAATCTTACGGACTCTTTATAAATTGCGTCATAATCAAGCTTTTATTTATTTATTTTTTAAATAAGAAACTTAAACATCAAATTTATGGATTATAACAATAAAATGAAGATGAAAAATTATGAGTTTGGGATTTTATTTTACTATTGCTTTTCTCGCTTATTTATATTTACACACCTATACCACCCGCGTATGTTGTAGCTTCCCACGGGTGAAAGAACTTTCATGATCGGACCAGTAACTCTGAAGATTACCCCCTACAAACAAAGTTAGAATCCTGCCCTTGTACTTGCAGAACACTCGGTTACTATAAGCAGAATATTGTATGACAAGAAGAGTCAAACCGTAAATTTGATGCTAACTAAATCAATGAAGAGTCAATAAAGAAGAAATGGAATATAATTTCACCCAATGATGTGTTAAAAATTTTAGGTGGGTTATCTACTGACAACATTGACAACAAAAAAGAAAGGCAATTTTCAAGAAGGCCCTGTTTCTCTTTAGTCACGTCTTACTAAGCGTTGTAATATCATTTTCACTCGTAATTTTCTGTGAAAAGTTGTAGAAAAATTCCTTCCTGCGTGTTTAAACAATGAACAAATTACACATAGAGAATGGGAAATGCAAAAAAGATATCATTTCATGCGTAAATACTGTATTTACTTTTTTATTATAATAAAAATAATAAAACCTCATTGAACGCGGTAATTGTTTCGTGCATCGTGTTCTATAAGGAGGCAGCAGTTGGCAAGTAAAGCTAGGCAAGTCAATGTAAGTATGTTTATCTCGTTCTAACAAGAGGTATGCTGAAGATTCTGATAGGGAGATAAATATTTTTGATTTCTTCGCGCCCTTTGTTAATTGTAACTGGTTGTATTATAATGTTACGCTACCACAATAAAATTTACGCTGTTTTAATACGCAATAAAGAGTATGACGTGTCTTATAATAAAACGTTATTGAGTTTTTACCTCTTTATAATATTATTAGTAATGATATTCAACCTGGCACACTCGACAACAAGACTTCTTCTTTTCTTCTTTTATTAATGGCTTATCTGCCAATGTCAAGTGAATTTTATTTCTACATGTAAAATGAAAATGAAATGTTCTTTCTGACTACACGTTCGTTCTGCTGACTGACTACGTTCTGACTACAAAACAAAACTCGACGGAAGGTCCGTCAACTAACGCATGCTTCCAAGACGTTTGACTTTCCGACAGATTTGCACCGATTCTTACTACGAAACCAAAAATATAGAAGTCTAATATTCAAGTCTCTTTTCTGTTGAGCTTTTTGATCTCTGCTTTTTCAGCACGTCATAAATTTATTTTCTCTATGACGACAATTATAGATGTCAATACAATCTCGTTGCTTTTGGAATCTGAGGATTTTTGGACTTTTCTGATAATTTATTTTACTTTATAATGGCGCATTGGTGAGTGTATAATGTCTAGTCATTTATAAGCAATAAAACAGTTTGTTGGATATAAACCACAATTAGAACAAGATATAGAGCCATAAGAGCAGTGACTTAAGTAACTATAACTGTTCGAGTTCAGTGGCAAAATTTACTATTTAAATGCTGTAATAATATAATTAACGATTGACTTTACCAACCTGAAGTGGAGTTTCATCATGATTATACGAAAGGCTTCGTCATAAGCACCAGAACAATCTTTTGATTATCCTATACTCACGGCCTTCTCTGACTACAATCCTACCGCGTAACTGCATTAGCTTCTATTTGATTATCATTAAATTCAACCAAATTACATTTTACATTCAATACTGTTTTATTAGAGAGTAAAATCCACAGAGTTAAATAAATTTTTTTCAAAGTTCAATTCAATTATGCGATAGGACTGCTGGCTGAAACTGAAAGAGCCCTTCATCCTACATTACTGTACAACTTGTTAGAGAAACATATAAATTGATGGCAATAATGAATTTACATCATAGCTTTTGTCTGTCGACTTCGTCTGTATCACTCTTAATTTATTATAATAGTAACCCGATAAATTTTGCTTTTGACCGTCAGTATGTTGTTTTTCAGTTGTTCTCAGTGCAGCTTCACAGCTCAGTTCGAGAGTGCCTTAATGATGCATCATCAGCTACATCACGAGCCGCCAACGCTCAACGGTTTTACCGACAGCACGAAGCATCTGAAAGTAATGTTCTGTTGGATTTTGATTTTGATGACCTCTGTTGCAGAGTGGTTTGCCAGTTTCAAGGTGTTGCCATCCCTGAAGTCTAGGAAACAATTCCCGGTCGGGCCAATACCGAAACTGGACTATTCTATATTGTCTCGAGTCTGGGTGTTGTGGTACCTTCGTTGTCTCAGATACTCCATAAAACGGGGGGCTTTCACTACTCATTTTGGAATCTGAGCAATGTATGTGGTGTTGACGAATAGTTATTTATTTTCCTTCGATTTCACCCACGTAAATCACTAGAGTCTGATGTATCTTTTTAAAATCGGTCCAGTTTCGAAGCCTCTTCGACCTTAACATACAAAACAATCAATTCTTTTCTCATTATTATTTAATACTATTATGAATTTAAATGTTTTTTTTTCAATACGAGTTTACTACCATCTTTTATCTTAAACATACCTACATTATAGAAGTCAAAATTGAACAGCACGAATTGAAGCATACCGTGCGGGTCTAGTTCGGATTTATGTGTGATAGATGCAGCCAGGGCCAATGAGTTAACGTTTTTCCGAATCACAGAGCTTGAAATGCCTTCCATCCTATGATCAGCCTTTGTGAAACATAATAAGCCTCCAAATAGCTGACCGCTGCACCATCGGGCACCTATAACATTTTCCACGGTCAGTGGAACCTAAGTTAAGATTTTTTGTTTATAAAATTGTGTATTTGTGCAGGAAAAAGCGAATACATTACCAATGACTTCGTCCCTGGATACAACCTTTTCCTCTAACAAAGAAGACAAAGGATTAAGATGTAAGGAAGGTGTAAATGTATTTTTTTACTGCAGAAAGATTCATAAGTGGATATTTTTATTCGATAATAATTTAAGATGCAGCCAGTACAATGTTTTAATATGCTTGAGGGTCTCAAAATACAATATATTTGTAGTCACCAATACATCTGATGACAGCTCGTTTCCTACGGTAATACTTATTGTTGTCTACGATAAATGTAAATATGCAGATTCTTGACAGGTGTTCCTCAGGGTTATCATTTGGGCCCTTCTTTTCACCCTGGTATACTAACGATCTTTTCAAGACTTAAAAAATCATTAATTAATTCATTTATTGCTTTACGCGGCGATAAACCAGTCGAAGGTCTTGATCTACTGGCTGCCGATAATGCATTCCACGATACAAAAAAGGAACCCATCGTTTATACCCGACATTTTCACTTCAGTGCTAGGCCGAACTTCATCAGCAACAAGGTTGTTGGAAAGGCTTCGCACCCGTATTACCAAAACTCGCAGTAAAATGCTATTCTCTCATCCCGAAGAAATCGCTGACAACACAATCGTGAAAGTTAGTTTTCATAACATATTTTTAGTCGAATAATGAATGAGGTAACGTTTTCTCAATATAGATAGCTTAAAGTTAAAATTTGTGGATTTTCCGCATGTAAAGAAAAAATACAACTGACAATAAAATACTCGGTTTCAAAAGATACTTTAACTTTGATTTTAAATATAATTATATATTATTATTGTTTTTATGCACAATAAAGTACTTACTTACCATTAAATAATTTATTTATTTTGCGATACGAAAACAGCCGAGTTCCCTCAGTAAACCTTCGACGCCGTGTAATCCCGATTGCGTGTATCAATTTTCTTTGTTCAATATTTTTTCTTTCCTTTTCTTTCATTAGTCAAATAACTGGTTAGATAATTATGTTTAGATACGAGTATGTATGGTTATACGAAAAAACTCAATAAATGGTAGTTGGTTGGCATGTATCAAAAAGTCAATAGCTTGTAGTAGGGTTATATGTAACAAAAAAGTTGTGTAACTGTAACAAGAGATCAATTAGCATTAGCTTGGTAATTTTGTCAAAGAGTTAATACATATAGGTATATTAGAAATCAGTTAGGCTACGGCTACGTAGGTAACAGAAGAGTAATAAGTGTTGGGTAGTAACAACAAATAGTTAGTAGCTAAATACCTGTAACAAGTTATCAGTAGTAGCTACGTTGCTATTTTTGACTTTATATTCGCAGGATTTGAGCCCTACCAGTGAGTGTACATCCAAAATCGTGCAGCTAGGCGCGGTTTCGAATGCTTCTGCATACACCACATCGGTAGACGGACCCAAGGAGACCTACGCTTGTCATTTGTGTACATTCGACGCTGACAGGTAAAATCCCAGTGGAGAATTCAATTTTTTTTTTAAACCTTTGTGTGAACATTTTTTTTATAGTGAATGAACTCTTACTTCCGTACCTGAAGTATGTTTTGCATTTGTAACAAAGAATTTCTAATAGTTTTGAGAAATCATTTATGTAAAGATTTCACTGTCCTTCCAATCTGTTATTTAATTACATATCAGAAACAATAAAAAATTTCGACTTTATTTGTAGGTGTTATTCAATAAGATGAATCTGTTCTATAATTTTAAATTATTTCTTATTCTTTAAATAGTGTAGATTTTTTATTTTAGCTGTAGTTGCAATACAGACTTGGAAAAAGCAATCAAATAGTAATAATTTGCACAAGTTCATATTTACAATTTATATATTAACATCTTTATACTGAATATATTTTTATTGTTTTATAAATCTTTATTCCCAGGATAACAGTTTTAGACAGACATCTTTTGAACCATCACAAAATTGGTTTGGATAACCTCCTAAAATTAGTCATGGCTAAAACCAAAGACGGTTTGGCAGAAGAGAATCGCAATTCCAATATTTATGGTATCAGAGAGCCATACTACAAACCGACAGACGAAATTATAGAAGAAGGAGAATTCGTTATAGAAACTGTGACACCAAAAATTAAGATATTGAAACATGCGTCAACTAATACGGAAGTGCAGTGGACAGATATACCAGATTTGAAAAATGACTGCAGGAAAATCACAAAGGAATTGGAGAAGCTTATAAAGTATCCGAGTGACAAAATTGGTAAAGATGAATTATTGAGCAAAATGCAAACGCTGAGCGATTGCATGTGCAAATTTGTAGACTCAACGAATACTCTGAAGAAGATTTTGACAAAGGAGTTCGATTCTAAAACTAGCGTGAGAGACCGGTTGAGTGCAGCGGAGCCCTTCTTCGATCTTGGCTTAGGGGAGTAAGTAATTCAATCAAATAAATAAAACACATTCACATTTCCGAAAAGAGTAACAATGTATTCAATGTTTTCATTAAATTGTTGGCAAAACTAAGAGTGTGATACATCAAATATCTTGAATACAAGCATCGTTAATGAACTAGTACTATACATAAACAATAATAATATCTTCAAAGCGCCATGTTTTAACTTCCAAGGCCATTCTTTTTATGTTGTTAGGAATCTAAGTTATTGTTACAGTTTACTTACATATTGATAAACAAATTTATTTTTCTAGTCAAGATTCACCACGCGAATGGGAGAGAGCTCATAGTGAGAAAATGGAAAGGACAAGACATAAGTACGGAGATAGCTGCAGGTGAATATTTTTACCTGGTATAAATATATCCTTCATCTAGTAAAAGAATAATCAAACCGGCTAATTACAAAATAATATTTTGATATTAAAGGTTTTTCATGAAACATTATAACATTATGCTTGAAGTTTTTACAGTAAAACTTATTTTTAAACTTCCGTTCCGTTTGTTCCGTAAATATGCCGTAAATTCAAAAAGTTTGGTTATGTTAATTAGTAATGAATTATGAATGAATCTTTTTTCGTTGTTTGATATTATCGGGTCAAGTTTTATATAGAATAGAGAAAAACATAACAAAGAAAAATCATTAGGAATAGCGACTTTACATGGTCACCGTGCTCTGAGGTCCTAGGTTCGAGTTCCGGTCGGATCAATGTAGAAAATTATCTTTCTCTGCGTTCTATGTGTTGGTGGTAACTTCGTTGCCTCAGATTCTCCATGAAATGAGATATTAGCATCACATCATGGAATCTGAGTAATGCATGTGATATTGTCTAACATTTATTTATTTATTACACCAATCGTGTGAAGGCGCAGTGGGTAGCTTATTCTTTATTATCCAGCCAGTTCGACAAGTGATCAAACTATTCGAGAAATGATGATACTCGGAGTATTCGTTCATGTCCCAGATTTCTTCTCCGAATAAAGTCATTTTTAACCACGAATTTATCACGCGCGAAACAATTAAGAAGTTTTCTCTATATTGAGTTTTGAATTTGATTATACTATTTACTTAAAATCACATGTTTTTGTAAATGTCTCGTCTAGTGAAAACTTAGGGCTATAGTAGGAACTGTTATTTATATTATGCAATCTTTACCAGAGAGATACTTTTCTGTTTCTGATATATTTTTCACTGTCTATTTCAGGGGCGGAAAGTCGAAAATGTCTTCGGAGAGTTTTTATTTCTGAAAGTGATTTATTTTACATATTATATAATATACTTTTTGATTACGTTAATATCTTGTAAGGTTCGTTATAATTTATAAAATAAACTAATTCTGTTTCTATCTTAGTTTTGATTTGGTATGTACTAATTTATTTACAGCTAATATATGAATTATGATTCTAGGTAAATATTGTCAATTTCTGATCATCAGTCATATTTTATAGTGACTCAATGTATATGTTATAAGTATGTAATATAAAACCATGTTTCATAAACTTTCACACTAAAAATGGTAGACAAATCATTCAATGTCCTGGTCACGGGGTCTCGAAAAATCACTATCCGCCTTGGGCCTAGATTCTTTTTTAAAGATATGTTTATTTTAATGGATGATAAGACTCGAAGGTGTAGGACTTCAATTCCGGTAAGCAGCGGCGATTTACTAAAATGCAGGTATAGGGACCTAAATAATAAAAATATAGATTAATACACTATAAGTAAAATCAAATGGGTAGATTTGTGTAGAATCGATTACACCTACGATTCGTGTAGGTAAGACAAATTATATTGAGAGAATTACAAAAATACATAAAATATATATTTCCAGAAATAAACAATAGGAAATTAATATAAAATTATACAAAATAAATGTTTCAAAATTAATAATACTGATGGCAATGATAGAAAGTCTCTACATTTTCGTAACACAATTCTTTTATTTTTCGTTGCAATGTTCACATACTGGAGTAGTACTGTCAATTTTATTGCATTTTTGACAATGACAGCACAGTGTGTAAACGCATTTATCACATTTCTCCTCAAACATAGCTTTATAGTAACAGCATTCGTGTTTGAAAAATGAATCACCACCGGATAATTGCCTGTCATTAGCCTGGTAATATTGGCTACTATTCTGATAACATTTGCAGGATGAAATTTCGTGTGCTTTTTCCATGTCTGATTGCGATTCTTTCTTCTTGGTATTAAGGTAATTTGGTCTCACAACTGGCAGCACCCGAGGACCAGTTCTGATAAACGGTCTGTTCTGGTCTTCTGGATCACCATTATCATTTCTCCGCACAGTAGCAAACATTCTATTGACCTCTTCAATGGCGTCTTTCGATTTAGTTTTTTCTTTTAATGAGTATTTGAGCTCGTCAATTTTCATTTGAGGTATCGACGAAGATTTACGTTTATTCAAATCAAGAGTAAATTGTGAGTTTTGAAGATTATCAGGTTCAGAGTAATGAATAATTCTGAAGTTATTTACTTTATTTAAAATGTTATCTTCTGTAATCTCATACTGAAATATGCGGCTTTTAGAAAGATTTTGTTTGAAATCTGCCTTGTTTTCTGTCTCAACAGAAACATCTTTCATTAATGTAGTATTACTAATATTCTTTTTGACTTGTTTAGTATTTTGGAATACCGTTAACACTTCTTTGAGAAGATTTAAATCTTGGTTTATATCGGTCTGTGATGTTTGCACTGTTGTCGTTTTTATTTTCGGTTTTAACCTGTTGAAATCACAACTTTGACGACATTTCGGACAAGACATTGTAACTCTTCTAGCAAATTCATTGTTGCAGTCCAGTGAATTTGAGTTCAGACAAATTGAACATATGAACCTATTGTTTATTCCTTTGTGATAATGTTTGTTACTATTGCTTTCATTCATTTTGCACTGTGTTTCTTCTGGTTTTGAATTCGGTTTCTTATTTTTGTATACTGTAATATTTATTTTTACTTTCTTGTGGTTCACGCTTGGTATCATAAGAAATGTTTCTGCAACACTTATTTAAATTATTGTATTATTTACATTATATTATACATTTTGATTAAAACAAAAAGGGAAGATTTAAAAAAAAAAAAAAAAAAAAAAGATACGGCATACTCATAGTTGCATTGACCAAAAAATGGCACTGGTAAAATTATATAAGTAAACCCACTCGCACACTTACATGGGATTCCCCAAGCAAGCAAGATAAAGCTATAAGTTTCAACTATAGCGCGAGCGAGATAGGAACTTATGATCGTTACAAACATGCGCGTAGCAATACGCCGTACAGCTGATCCATTCTCTCTCGTACATGAGTATAACTACTCATGTGCGAGACAATATGTACCCATATTTTATATACTCTTATCCTTGTGTCAATAGCGAAATTATGTGCATGCACCTAATTTTAGTTTCCATTAAATAATCGCTTGTCTCCTTCATCTTCCCCTTTTGTTTTAATTTTTAAGACTATACAACAGTTTGTAACCTAGGATTTATCATGGTTTGCTTGCAAAACTATATGTTTTCCATATATGCACAATAATAATAATAAACTTTTTTATTCAATACCTTTTCTTATATTTAAGCATATGTTTATCTTTAAAATGAGCCTCTTTTATATAGTGTCTCAAAATTGGCTACACAAGTAGACTAATACCTAATTAATTGTAGCCATTTAAAGCAAAACTAGTAGTTGAATGGTTGAGAAGAAAATTGTTTACCTACTTGGGCAGGTCTTCTTCTTCTTCTTTTTTAATTCAAGGCCTATTTGCATTTACACTTGGGCAGGTCTTCGAAATATGATTGTACAGTTAAAAGCACGTCAGATTTCAAAACCGTCAAATTTCCCCACTAGATATTAAACCTTAATACATTGATGGTAGAGGTCAAATCGATTGCAGAAATTTGATATATTGTGGTAACCTGACGTGCAGCCGTGTGTACTATCAGAAGAATCACTGATTAGTGTGTCATCATCTCAGGTGCATTCATCTTTATTTGTAGATAAATTTACAGAACAGTGAAAAAATATTTACCTGAAGAATATATGAAAACGTAGTGTTTATCTCATTGATATATGAGTAAAATATGCATTTGAAAACGTCATGAAACCTTCAAAGATTATGTAAAAAAATAAGAGTATTTAAAAAAAACTTTATGGTTTAACTTCATCTAAGGTTAATTTTTTTATCACAGAATCATGGACTTAGTACTTATAACTCCGTAAAAATATAATAACAAAAATGAACCTTATCATTATTACTTAAAGTATACTTTTAGTTGCTCTTTGTACAGAAGCTAATCCGAGCCGTGAAAGAAAGTCACAATGGAGGCCGTGTATCTCGTTCTTTGCTCTTGCCATTATAAAAAAATATAAATTCATTAAAAATTCAAACTTAAATAACCTTAGTGAAAACATTTGTATTTGAATGGTAACTGTTTTAGTATTATTTTTTTACAAAAAGATAGAAGGCACTAATTATGATCAAGACTATTTGTTCACTTATTTTCTACTGGTATCCCTTTGGAGTGTCATGGCGGTAAATAGTAACTGGTATTTTTATTTCAGTAGTTTCAAATTTTCTTGAGCTAGGCATCAAACAAAGATTGCCGAGCACAGTGCGGGCTCGTGTTTTCACTTTCTTTGGCCACCTAACACGACGCGGGGGCGAATCCATAGAGGTCCTGGTAGTGCAAGGAAAGCTTGAGGTACCAGACCACGCGGCAGATCACCCATGAGATGGACCGATCAAATAAAGAAAACGTTAAACAAACCGCTGCATGAATGCACTAGAAGAGCGAGAGTTCGGGAGGAGTGGCGTCGCATTGTGAAGCAGCCCACTAATGTCGACTTGGCGACCACGACCACTCTGTCAAGAGTGTGGCGCCTAAGGAGAAGACTTTTAAATATATATCCCAACAGTTAAAATGGGGAAAAGTGCCGCGTTTATGTTTTCCAAGTCAATCTTGTAGTGGTTGCAATACGTTTTTTCGCGATTAAGATAGAAAACAACAACAGCATTGTAAATCTAACAACTATGTTTACCCTGAAGTCTTTTAATATGTGGATGAGTGTATATGTGGTCATAACAAAGTATTAAATTATTTTTACAAATATTTCTAGAAATATGAAAATTTGTTATAATATTGTGCACGAGTTGTGTACGAGCCGCAGTAGTTAAAAAATATGAAGTCTCAATTAATCAATATGTTATTGTCGTCTGTACTTGATATCTCGCTTGGCTTGCATAACAGTTGGGAGTACTCTGTCCTTTCATAAGTACTAAGTGCATTCACAGAATAGACAGATTGACGCGTTCTTATCAAAGAGCTGTGTATGATTCCCATTCTTTTATTTAATTTAGAGACTTGGAAAATATGTCCCTATTTTTTTGTTTCTTATTTATTTTTCCTATAATTCAAAAGTGAAAACGTTTGTTCGCATAAATAAGTGCTACCAGAAATTGTTATTATCTACTACAAACAAACCTTCTCAATTCGCCAAAATGAGATGGCAAGTTGCTATAAAATTAAATAAGATCATTGATTTCCCTGAAAGAGTTTTTGAGAGATTCATTAGATTTGAGATCAATCATGTTCATATGTAAATGACTTGGTACTTACTTTGTATATCAATACAAATACGGAAAAGTACAAATAGAATATAAGTTGATTATCGAGTTTTGAAAATTAATTTACTTTTATGTATGAAAGAAAACCGGAAGGGTTGTCATGGAAAAATCAAAAAAAATACCGTAGCGACATTTAGTTTGATTTTGGGAACCAATGATTTTTTTAAATAATTCCTCATTATTATGTTAGGATAGGACACTATGTTAGTTATGTTCGCGAGCAGAGCGAGGCATGTTCTTAAAACTGAATCCATATCGCAGTTCATTCATGAAATTTCGATAATTAAAACTTATGAACAAAACATTCACGGGCCGCAAGTAAGATGATCGCGGGCCGCGTGCGGACCGCTGCTTTAAATGATCAAGAAACATAAAGTTGTATTATGTTTCTTGATCATTCAGAGAGTCTAAACCTGCATTCAAGTCTTTCGTTTGTAATTCCTCAATAGCTATGAAAGTAATATTTGCGTCTTGGCTTGCTTGAGAATTCAAAATAATGATATCATTAATCCAATATCTTTAAACAAAACACTTCACGCTATCAGTGTCATATACATAGTTTTAATTCGTGAATATCTTTTAAATGTCAAATTAAAAGGCATAACGATGGATTTTATAATTAGACAATTAGGCGTCCGGTGCTGGTGCCAAGAGTTATGACGTCGTGTTGCGAAGACGCCCGTCGGAAGAAGTTGAGAAGTAGGAAAAGTGCCTGCATTAGCAACCCCACTTTAATTAAGAGGAAAAGTGGTCGTTATAACTCAGAATTTTTCTAGGACTTTTCTGATACATAAATTTTGTATCAGAAAAGTCCTAGATTACATAACTGAGATGTTCCTTTATTCTTTAAAATACTATGAACCTAAGATAGGCACTGGCATGCTGTGAAATCACCCAAAAACATGCCAAAAACTGACATTTAGAATAGTCCTGTCATCACTAAGATAAATTTTTCGTAAAAAATATTATTTAAACAAGTTTGAAAAATAGTATTAAAAATTGAATAGTGGAATTATATAATTCATATTGTAATTATTGAAATCTACAGAGAATAATACTAAAAATATGATTTAAATATATAATTTTATAGATGTTTAGAATTGTGCAAAGTGTATATAATTTTATAGAAGTTTAGAAGTGTGGAAAGTGTATTATTTAGTACTGCTGTTTAACTAAAAAATATGATAAATAAGAGATGAGAGAAAGCAAACCGATTTATATAACAAAACACAATCACAAATACCAGTTGTACAATAGCAGAGTGATAAACACACCAAGAAGATACGGATGTACCACTACAGAAGCCGGTGTACAATATGAGCATCCAGGAGACATTGTTATTTGTACTTGCAAAAATGGAATGGGAGTAAGGAGACATCAAGAGGTAAGTAGCTTTCAGATTAATGAGATAGATGTTGGCAGTTTGAAAGTAATATTAAATGTGATAATCCAAAAAATATGAAAAAGGAAAGATACAGCGACCTATTTGACTGTGAAATAGACCTTTACAAAAAAAAATTGAAAATATAACACTCAGAACTTCTGAAAACAAGGAATCAAAGATTATTAGTTTGTTTTTCCGCAGATTCGATATCTCAGTAGCCAACCCAGACACGTTTATGCATACCACGGTTCCAGAAGCTTTACAGATATCGGTGTAGGCAACTTAATACCGTTACAGAAAAAGAAAATCAAAAGGATATATTTGCCTGAAACTGATGACAGAGGTGTTGGAAGTTCAGACCTATCGTCCTTTTTAACTAGTAAGTAACACACCTAGCATCCTTTATTAAAGCTTTGAGCAATAACACATTTAAAGATTTCATTATTAGCAGTGTTTAAGTAAGCGAAGCTATAAAATGACTTATTATTTTATTGCTAACAATAAACTTATATATTATTCACACTTCACTTTTTATAGGGAAAACGAAACCTTATAATAGAAATTATTATTACAATAACAAAAACACTTCAACCAGAGGCGTAGGAGGTGCGGTTGATGATACTATAATAGTCATACATAAAAAGTTATCTCCTATAATAAATACAAAATCGGGAACTACAAGCCCGAAATTATCACTTGTATCGAATCAGAGAAACAATGTTGAAATCGGAAGCAATACCCAGGGCAAAACTCTGGCAACAACATCAACACAAATTGAAAAAATCATGGATAATGATGACATTAAAATAGAAGTTAAGACTGTAGAAGTAAGCATTGAACATGATAGGGAATTCACAAAGCAATATAAGAAATTTAGTCAGAAAAATTTATCAAGTGTGCCCGTGCAATTAAAAGAAAAACCTATAAGCAAAAGAGCTCAAGAAGCCGAAAGAATATTTTCATCTGATTCGCTTGTAGAACACATACATAATCTTGAAAACCCGAGTGAGGATAAGCAAAGTCATGTAGATGTGATGGAAAATAAACTGGAAAGGGAATATAGAAAAATGTTTTCTACGAAATCAAAAGAATCTAAAGATCAAAAAGTAGAAGAAGTGCGAACCGAGTCAAGTATGAAAAGCACCTCTTTGCTACGACGGCGTTTCGAAGCTTTGAGGCGTGGTTTAGCTAGAAAGGAAGATTCAAAAAGAAGTACAAATATTTCTGACAAAGGGTCCAGTAACGGAAGTGAACTTAGTAAAAGAGACGTTTCGATTGCTTCAGACCCTCCATCATTGCAGAGTAGATCGTATACTGATGTGAAAATAAGAGAACCATTTACTAAAATGGAACAGTATGTTACTTCTAACTCTAAACCTATACATGGGAAACCATTGGCAATAAAAACTAACAGTTACAGGTCTGAAGAAGACGACAGTAGCTATCAAGGTGCAACAGGCATGTTTAAATTATGGGGAAAGAAGTTTAACTTTGACGATGAAGAAAACGCTCAATCACAATTCAAAGAACAAAATATAATAATAAATGAAAATGATAATAAAAAGGAAGGGAAAAGATTCTTTTTCTTCAAAAAGAAAAGTAAAGATAAACCTACAAATATTTACAAGCAAAAGAAAGGATTAACTGCTGGTAGATGTGAAGTTGGTGATGGTCTTATAATAAAGATAGGGGCTGCTTATCCGAAGCCACACTCTTTAGATAAGAAAGAGTGTCGTAAAGCTATCGAGAAAATTCCTGAGGAATATGAAGAAATGTTTACAAAAGCTTGGCTTCAAAACTTTTTAGCTCAGACAATAGAATCGAGAAATAGTGTTAAAGTTCGTTGGAATAACAATGCGTATGCTACAAGTAGTAGTACTATATTTGAAATTATGGAAAACGTTTATAAAGATACTGGTATTATATTTCGATCAAAAAGTGAAATAACTACTAAAGAGTCGTCTTACTATAAGTCCAATCCAAAGCAGCGAGTAAATTTTGTCAAAGACGTGGAAGCATGGATGATACCTAAATTAATACCTGATAAACCTGTAATAACATCATCAATTGCCAGGGATGAAAAAGAGCATGATAGAAATAAAATACACGTGAGAATATCTGATCAAAAATGGATTATAGATAAATCAAAAGCTTTCGCTCACAAAATCGAAGTGGTTTTACATTCTAGAAATATCGTGAAATCTTATAAGAATCCTAGTACAGAATACTTGACGATAGACATACCAAAAGGTTTTTTTTCAGATTCAGGCACAGACAGCGGCGTCGCAGATCATATGAGCAATGAAGAAGTATATAAAATAGTAGAATATGAATCACCAGAGTCGAGAACTCGAGCAAACGCAGCTAACTTCGAAACTGGTGATCATTTAAAAGATATTAAAGTTACAGTGAGTCTGAAAGACGAAAATTTTGAATCTAAAATTATCGAAACAGTTATTAAACGACGGCCAATTCAAAGAGATGTTGTAATACAAAACAGCAAAGTTTCTATTCCTAACAGATGCAATGTGATTGGAGTTGGAATAATCACACAAAAAGATACCAGAATAAGAAAACCTATGTAAGTCCTTTATTTATAAACATAAATATTTTTTTTCATCTATTAACATGATAGAGACTTAAGAATTAGCTTATTTAATTAATTAGAGGTCGAGTTTGTTAAAATTTTAATATACTTATTTTCAATGTGTATTTAATTGTATATATGTATACAAAAAAAAATATCTTTTCATTCATATTCCAGCTTGAAAATTCAAGATGAATATACAGATGATGAATCATACCATAGTGTGCGTATAAATCATATTAAAAGCAGGTTTGCTGAGAGTTACCTTCAAGATTACTACCGTCATATGTCTTTGGGAATCGACTTTTCATGGTGTCTTAGCGATTCTCAAGTTCAGTGTTGTTCAGATATTTCACACAACACTGTAAACAACCAAGGCGATGGCACAAAATCTTGTCCAAATATTTACGATGATTATATTACATCTACTGTAATATCGTCTTGTGGAACTTCTTGCTGTAGTCCTTGTGGGCCAATGCCCTGTAGTGATTCGTGGAATAATAACTGTAAAACAGGCCTAGTAGCAAAATTTTACAATAAAATAAAACCAAAGCTCCTGAGAGTCGATACTTATCCAGATTCTCAAAAAAGGATGACCCCAAAAGATTCTCTAGAAGTATTCAAGAAAAGAAAACTTTATGCATTGAGCGCTAAATCTAAATGGGGGAATCCAGAAGAAATACCTTATTCTATTCCCAGTATAGAGAGTAAAGGAGCTCCAGATACCTTAATTGATTGTCCTAAAGCAAGAACAACATGTTGGAAAGCTACTTCAAAAATACCAAAAACAAAAATCTGCGAAAAACATGTCTCTTTTCCAGACTGCGAAACTCTGAATACATCTCTTATTAAACAATTAGCAACTACTCCTAGTGGTATACTTATCTTTAAAGGAAGCTCGAAATGTGTAGAATGCGAGAAAAAAGGGTCAATATGTACGAAACATACCAAAATAGACCCAAACCCTGCTTGTGAAATCCCACCACCTCGCCGTCCATGTTTAGATGATATCCCAACACGTAAAGCATCTCCTTGTTGTCCTGCTGATATGATCATGCCACAAACATCTCAGATGTCTATATCAAAATCAGTAGGTAAACCACTTCATCGCGATCCATCCATCAATAGTTTAAAGCTTTCCGCTAAATCATGTATTTCTGATCCAGGCTTCCAGTGCCCTCCTCCATCATGTCCTCCTCATCCATGTCCACCTTCTCCATGTCCTCCTAATCCATGCAATCCCCCTCCTCCACCATGCTCACCTAAAGCTCAAAAATCTTCTTTCAAATGTTGTCCCCCGCCGAAAAAATGTCATCCTTTTCCAACACCTCTTGTTCCAAAATCGCAACAGTGTCCTCCTAAATCGTCTGAACCACGTACTTATTATCAGCCCCCTAAGACTTGCGATTCACCTCGTACAAGGTCCAAACCAGGTAGTTCTTCTTCAACTATATGTGAGGAAACAAACAAACAAAAATGTCACAGTCCCGATAATGTACCTTGTGGGTCTCCTTCTGTATCTGGAATTCATTTAAGTTCTCCTCCAAGGTCACGATGCCCAAGTCCCCCTGAACCTTCATCATGTACAAATCCTTCTTGCCCAAACTCTGTATCATCACCGCCTGAGCCACGCCGTCGTCATAAGTCTCCAAGGAGTTATGAATCTACACCTCATAAAAGATCAAAACCTGGTAATTCTTCTTCAACTATATGTAACAAACCAAACAAACAAAAGTGTTATAGTCCCGGTAAACTACCGTGTGGGTCTCCTCCTGTATCTGGCATTCATTTAAGTTCTCCTCCAAGGTCGCGATGCCCAAGTCCACCGACATCGTGTACAAATCCGGATTGTCCAAACAATGTATTATCATCTACTTCTTGTGATTCTTCTCCAATTTCATCAAAAGCATGCCCCGATAACTCATACCAACGTCCTCAATCACCACCTTGTAAAAAAAAACCAGCACGGTCAAACAAACCTAATACTCCGCCTTGCAAGACACAGCCGCCCAAATGCTCACCCAAGCAAAGTTGCGTGAAACCACCCAAAAAATCTCGTAAAATAATGGACTGTGAACCACAAAAGGCAAAGTGCCCAGTGGAACAACCTAAACCTACACGTCGCCAAAAAAAGCCTGAATGCCAGGCACCAAAAAAACCTCCATGCGAAGCTTGTACAAAAGGTCGCAGTGGAGAATTTCCGTGGCCTTTAAAAAATCAGAATTCATACCAAAGCTCAATGGAAAATGTGCTGTCAAATTGTTCAAGCACAGAACCGAATACCAAAAATAAATGCACATTTGAAACACCTGTGCAGTGTCCTTCAAAGCAATCATGTAAGTCACCACCAAAAATATCTGGTATTTTTCTAAAATTAAGACCAGCACGGAAAAGTTCTAGTGAATGTGAAGCACACATGTATAATACGGATGTAAGACGTCCAGCTATAAGTCAATTGGACGACGACATAATTATAAATATAAAAAAATGTACCGATAGTACTGAAGAAATAAGAGAAGGTTTAAACATTAAAGTACAAGACTTTGATGGTAATACTCTTTACGAAAGGCTAGATTACAGTAATGAGATTGAAAATACAAATAAACAGAAGCTACCTTCAGTTTTAAACGAAATGTACAAAAACTCAAATGTGCACGTTGTTTCTACTTCAAGACCGGTTCAAAATATGCAGTGTCATGAAGAAAGTAATTTAAATTTAGCAGATACTAAAAGTGAAGCAAGTGTTGCGAATCTGATAGAAATTAACTTTAAACTTAAAGTTACTCAGGGTGATAAAACCACGGAATTAAATATTGGAACAGATGACGCATCAAACGACCTTAAGAATTGCCCAAAAAATTACTTAGGTCAAACTTCTCAAAATGTGTTTATATCAAAAGATGAAACTGATCAATGTAAAGATGAATATAATGATAAAAACGACGTTAACATTAAAATAATAATAAAAAATTACAAACCAAAGAAGAGAAACAAATCTATGGGTGATGAATTCGTTCAAAGTATAGCACAAAAATTTCAGACTGTATCTACAGGCTACAGTGATATTTTAGCCAAAACAAATGAGGATAATGTATATTCCATTCATAAGACAAGTTTGAATCTAACTTCATCAAATGATGGGTCGCAAATTGACATTCAGGCAAAAGAAAAAATAATTAAAGAAGCTCATACAGACATTAAACAAATATCACACAAAGTCTTGAATAAGTTAGAAGACTCTGAAAGTAAAGTCACGAATGAGAACAGTGTATCTTCAATTCACAGGACAATTCAAAAACATACCTATTCAAATGACCAATCACAAATAGATAGGCACCCAAAAGACGTAATTGTAAAAGAAGAAAATATCCAAGAAATTCCTGTGGGAATTATAAAAAGAGCTAACAGTATTTTGGATAAATTAGAACACTCAAAAAGCAAATTGGATATTAATCAAAATGAAAAGGTGTTGTGTAAGCAGTGTAAAGAAAATGAAATTGATGATATACAAAACTATATTTATAAAGAAGAAAATACGTATATTGCAAAAAAGGATCGTTTTTCTTTGAAAGATACGCAAGATTCACACGCTAATGATATTTTAGCTAATGACAGCTATAAACCAATGCCGAAGAGTAACTCTAATATTGTACCTAAATCACTTACTAAAGAAGAAAAAAAATCAATATTGAAAAAAATCCTGGAGAAGGTAAAGAGAACAAACAAAAAAGAGAAAATGAAAGAATTCACGGAAGTACTAAATATGATTTTAAATGATAACAGTGATCACGAAGAGACAACTCAAGAATGTATGGACTTGATGAAAAAAATGAGATTAGTTTCTCCGAATTCTAATCAGTTTAGGGACACTGATAGTTTGAATAATTATTTTACGAGATTCGATAGTTCAGTATTATCAGAACAAGAAAGTCATAATAATGCAAATGTGAAATATCCGTCAGAAAATGTAAGTGAAACTAGTGTCAGAGATACAGACGAATCGTACGATGAAAACGAAACTCCCAGGTCATGTATTTGCAGCACGTTTGCAGAAAGATTAAATATGTGTTCGGTTAATGGCAACGGTTGCTGTTGTAGGTATCCAACCAAAGCTGACGTAGAAACATGCTGCGATTTGCGCACCGAGGAGGATTTCTTATTACTAAACTATAAAACAATTGAATACATTGATGTGGAAACACAAAATTCAAAATATTTCTGTAATGGCAATAAAATTTCTGTACACAGTAAAGCTGTGTCCGATTCATTTAAAAATAAAAATGATGCTATCGTTGATACTTTTGAAAAATCTGAAAGCATTAAAAATTGTAAGAATGGTATCCCTACTCATGTAAATCATATGCAAACTTGTCATTACAAAAAATTTAATAGAAACTCAATTCTAGGTATTTCAGATGAAGACAAAGTGTTGCTTTTAAACACGCAATCAACAAACGTAGCTGTAGATACAATGTTTTCTCGGAATATTGGAAATGATGATGAGGAAAAGGAAAAGCTACTAAAGAAAGCGTATGCAAAATATGAACGAAATACTGATATACTGCAATCTTACGAAACCAAGAAAGCTGTCTTACAGATCTACGCAGAAAAAACATCTGACGAAGGGCGTTTAGTGGCTAAACTGCCTAAATTCGTTCAAGATAAAGAAAACGACATTGAAAAAAATTATGAGAAGTATGTACAGAGTATGTATAATGGTATCAAAAATAAATTTGTCATGATGTCTGTGGAAAAGTAGACGTTATCAAAATTGTCGAATAGATTACTTTATAAAATTTGTGTGTGTGTGTATTATTTTTGAGAAATATATATATTTTTTTATCACAAAGTTTTTTAATTGTCATAGTTCAGCGATCGTAAGAGCAAACGATGCGATATCTTCGTACGATGAAAATGATAGTTTTTGGCACACCATCTATTCCATAAACACTTATCCACACAGTGTCTATCGATGATTGTCAAGGTACCTATAGTAGGGGAGCCCACGATGCTAAATCGGGATTTACTCGAGCGTCATAGAGACCTATTGGGTTGCGAAGCTTAGATGATAACAAAAAAAAAATCATATAATATATACCTTTTCATCGGTGGGGGAAGCGGCTATAGATTTTTAAAAATGTAAAAAAAAACTGTTGTCTGGACATACTCGAGCGCGTCAGATATTAATATCATCCATGTCCTACGCATTTTTAAAAACTGTCGTATGTTGATCTGATCGTTTCCATGATGGTTATACGTAAGGGTTGAAAATGAAAAAAAAAATTATCGAGCGCGTCAGATTTTTTGAGGGGATGTCAAGTGAACCTAAAAAAATGCTCTTATATAATAATCTGACGATTTGGATGTGACGCAAACGCGTGACCATTATTAGAATGTGCAAAAAAAAATCGCCATTTTGAAATACTTAAGCGCGTCAGATTAAGATATATATGGTTCATCTTTATGCCCCAGACGTGATATCTCATAATCTGACGATTATCTGAAGGGATTTACTTAATCTGACAAATTTTTTTGTTAATTTTTTCGAATCATTGAGCTTAAATAGCAAAGCACCGGAGTTAGCATGCAAATAAAAAAGTGTATGTTTTTTTATGCAGAATTCTTATATTAGTAAGAAAATGTTAATATAAAAATTTAATGTTTACAGTATTTTTTATTAATTATCATCTTCATCACTAGAATCATCTTCCTCTTCTTCTCTTAGTAAATATGTAAAAAGTTTAATTCACAAAATTCACATTAAAATAACAAAATAAGCAAATACGTTGGAAATACGATGTAAACAATATCACGCAACGAACGAATCTGTGTCATCAGCTGTAATGGCGTCATGGCAACCGAAACCAGAGTGGGGACGGAGTGAGAGAGTAATAGATAGAAAAAGACTGAGAGAGAAATAGTTCTACTGATGTCAACTTACCCCCGGTTTCAATAATCTACCGACAACCGTCGGTAGCAGCCTACGGACGGTTTTTTGAGCTACCGATAACTATCCGTTTTTGCGTTTCACAATCATCGGTAGGCGCCTACCAACTACGAACGGTTGTCGGTAGCCAATTTTTTTTTTAATTTCAGTTCTTAAGTAAAGACAACGAGGTCTCACCCGTACAGACTTGTATTAAATAATATTTTTCACACTAAAACGTTAGTGTTCGATGTTGCAATGCATCTTTAGAATTTTCCAACGTGCATTTAAGCTAAAATAGAAAGATTGAGGAAGATCAGAGTTCAAATGTTGACTACATAATTAAATATTGTTTCTAATTTATTATTGAGATATATTAATAAAAGTTATAACTAAACTTTTTAGAAGTAAAAATAAATGTAAAATCTTTCTACATTACCTGAATTATATAATTTATTACTTTTTAATTAAATTAATGCAACTGTGATAGTGATAAGAAAACTCATAATTAAAAACTTTTTTTTTAAATTGAGGATATTGATATCTAGTGGTTTTGGCGGTTAAATTTATTTATTTTAAGATAAGCATTGTTGCGTAATTATTATAAAATAAAATAAAGTGGAGTGCCTGCCTTCCTATTTTTTAATTTTATATCCACGAATAAAATAAGAAATAAAATTATAAGGATGACTACTATGGTAAGTTCAGATTTGTATTAAACCTGTTTATTTTATGTTATTATTATTGTATGTGAGATTGTATATAGTCTCAATCTTTAAAAGACTTGTTTTAATTTCGGCGCTAACATTACCCAACATATTTTTTACAGAAAACCAAAAAAACTATGACTCAGGATGAGGTCATTTATCTTGTTGAATTAATACAAGATAAACCAGCGTTAATGACAAAGGCAACCAATGCCACTACAAATAAGCTTAAAGATGAAGCTTGGTTGTCTGTCACAACATCCTTCAATGCAAAGTGTTTGTCTATCCCCAGAAACAAAGAACAACTCAAATTAAAATGGGATAATTTAAAAAAAGCTGCTCGCAAAAGAAGTCAGCTGCTTCGGATGAACAATCTCAAGGTTATACATTTCATAGCTTTGCTATCATGTAGTTGCTAGATATTTGTGCCGTTTCTTAAAAATGTATCCTACTTTTTTAGTGTGGGTTCATTTATGCCTATACATAAAGAACATCAACAGTTTATATAATGTTCGTCTTGATTATGGCAACTGTAAAAGGGACAGCAAAAATTGTCTCCTTCGAAGTTAGGTGTTTTTAGCCCAAAGACCACTGTTTAGTTGATGTAGTTTAGTTGACTATATGTTATATTTTGACCTCCGCAGCCAAGTAGTTCGACCGCCGGTTTCAAAGTGTTGCCATCTCCAAGGTTCCGGGTTCAATTCCCGGTCAGGTCAATATAGAAAATTGACTTTTTTATATCGTCTCGGTTGTGTGTATTGTGGTGTCGTCGTTGTCACAGATACTCCATAATACGGGGGCTTTAACTACTCCTCTTAAAATCTGAGCAATGTATGTGATGTTGTATAGTATAATATAGCTGTTGATCGAAGTAGATTAAAATATACCGCCGTGTTTTAGGTTAACAAAGCAGCGGTTTTTCACTAAAATATACAAACCATCGCCAATACTTACTCGCGTAACTGGTATTACATGCTTAGTAGGTAGGTAGGTGAAGTAGTTTTAAAAACAGTTACACGATGTTGCCTACTTAGATATGTACCTACTGATGTATTATCTTTTTTAGACGGGTGGTGGAAAACCAGAGGGTATACCCCCAGACGACATTTTAGACAAAGTCGCAGGTCTTTTAGGGTCAACCTGCTCGGGCTTTGAAGTTTCTTTTGGTGGTGACAGAAGCGATAACAATGTAGTTTTGGTGGAAGACAGTGATGTTGAAATACAAGACTCAGCGGACAGAAATGATGCATCACAAAACATTTCCGAGGAAGAGTACAATCCGAGTGAAGGTATAATTTTTTTTCACAGAATACCTACTCGTGTGAATATAATACAAACTTGTTAGCATACTTCAATCGACTTTGAACCTGTAATTTTTTTTTGCTGTAGGTATTGGTAATTTATGTCACCCAGAATAAGTCTTAATGCCTTTTGTGATTAGAATCTTTTATACCTTTAATTGTTAAAAAAGTTCAATACATTTTTTTATCATCGATACCGAAACTCGACTATGAACTTCCCACCTATTACATTCTTGCTAGCATCAAACAAAAAAGTTGTGAAAAGCACTATCGCTATCCAGTGACAATCAAAACAAATGACCTTATTAATGCTTTATTATCATGTTTTTCTTTTTTAGCAAAAAAAAGTAAATCAAAAAGGATCTGCAGTCCCACCTTTTCTGGTTTGCCTATGTCAAAATCTGTACAATTCAAAGGTGGGTTACAAATAGTTGAATTTAAAAATATTTACTACTTAAACCATGACACTGATTTCATCATCAAATTGCAAATACTTATATGTGTAATATCAATATTTGTAAAAACATAACATGTCAAAAGTATTAGGCTAGGCATGTCCTGGTGACTTTCTATCACTATGACTTTTTGCCTCCTGTCACCGTGCCTGAGAATCCTTATCATGTTGCATGCACGTGTACACGTAACAATTGGGTGATTTGCATACAAATTACAGAAACACGGTGGTAGAAAAAATACCAATGCGCCCGTAGCTTCTTAAATCATAATTAACACATGCATTTTAATAAGCGTAGGTAATTAATTCGACTAAAATTAGAAATGTATTTTAATATAATTTTTGAGTTTTAATAACAATAAATAAGTAAAAATTCCTTTGAGATATAAAAAAGATCAGACCAAAATTAAATAAAACACTAATCATTTGATGTCTTTTTTATTTCAGGTAAATTTAGAAACAGACATCAAGACACAGGGGTGCTGCAGCGTAATTTAGCGATAGCTAAATATTACGAAAAAAAAACCGAGAAATTAGAATTAGAAATCCAATTACTCAAAGAGAGTATAAATAATAATAATTAATTTTTAACTGAATAATTTACATTTATTTATTATATTATTTTCAAATAAAAACTTTCGAGTCTACAGTACACTGTCTTTTTTTTATTAAGCAATATTTGTAATCATAATTGATTACATAAATATAGGTAGATATTGTGTTTAAAATGTACTTCAGTATTTCTTTGTCATTATAATAATTATAAAGGTTAAGAAATAAGACTTGACTGGTAAGACATGACGAAATAGGCGTTCGAAAGTTTATAAAACTAGACCGGACCACTTAACAATTTTAGATGATTTTTAGTTTCAAATAAGATTTCGGCTCCTGAAATATTCCGTATCACAACCGTAGTGACAGAAATTTATATCAGTTTTGTCGTTCTTTCCTCCGGCATAATTCCCTTCACACGTCGGAATTATCGAAGTACCCATGTCCGTAACTCTTCATAATCTGATAATCTTAATACTTTTGGAAACTGTTGGTGTACTTGCATCCCTGTCCTTTGCATCTACTGTTAAAGCCACAATCATTAAATGGGTGCGCAGTTTTCCTTTATTATATACCTGAAAATTAAATAAACGTTCGAATTGTGTACATGTCATAAAACATTTTATATTAACTGTTAAAATGTGGTGGTGTACACGGGATTATATCGATAGAGATCTATCTGTTAATATAATTCTAATTAACTATCTTAATTAATTAGAATTATATTAATAATTATAACTAATAAAACAAAAGTAGTTTATGTCAAAATTACATTCATTTATTCATTGTTTGTTGTCACAACAAGTGCCTAGTTAATAACCAATAGCAAAGTTTCCTGTAAACGTGTTTATGTGACGTCAAATTCGTTTTTAAGTGGAGTACGATTCTTAACAAATTACACGCAATCTATAATATTGTGAAAGTGCAACATAAACCCTTCGGTTACAAAAGTGGCTTATATATTTATCAATATTCCCTATAAAAGTGTAGGTATACAATATGAAATAGATGAAATAAAAAGGGTAAACTTTTTTTATAGTTTCGTTTGTTAACCCATATAAATATGATGCAGATTCCGTATTTTTTAACTTAGTTTGCTTGCTACTCTGACGATATTTATTTGTATAAAACCAATTCAAAATCAATGATATTTGGTGGACGCACTCTCTTAAAAACGTATATTTAAAATAAACAAGTAGAAATATATTATAAAACTATAAACGCTTCTGAGAAAAAGGCTAAACGCTAATAAAGTAAACATATGTTTGAAAATAAGAATTTCAATTAAATGTGAATCATTAATACCTATTTTGTGAATTTGTCTGTCTTCAATTAACTGATTGTGTAAAGCAATATGGTAGATACAAATATGCCTACAGCTAACCTACGTATACATACATAAATACAGTAAGAATTCGTAAATGTAATTAACGTTCGGTTCTGACTACACGATTGATACCACCTTCCGCTAATAGGTGGCGCCGCTCTTCTTTCGGGCCATCTGTGTTTCAGGCAGCCGAACCAAATCAAAACAAGTTGAAGAGGACCTTTTGATTAATCATTAAAGCGTCGACCGGCAGCGATGCTCAGTCAGTTTCATTATGTTTAAATTTATTTAACTTTACTTTAGTGGGAACTATGTTTATGATGTAGTTACAATACATGTACAGTGTTTGTGAGACCAAAACTGATACAGTGCAAGATAATACTGTGATGGTGATGTGTAGCAAAAGCACGTAACAATATCAGGGTCTAATTGGGAGTGTCAAGAGTGTACTGTGCAGCTGCTGATGTATGTTTCTGACGCTGACGCTTGTGAAAGTCGTCGAGCGGATTCGTTATACAAGGCATCGTCTCCACAAGTCACGTGCTTGAAGTTGTCTCAAGATGAATGGTTCAAAGTTTGCACCACACACAACACCAAAAAAATCATAAGCAGGTACAATAGTAATTAAGCACGTATTACATAATGGTTTTTAGGTTGATAGTTCTTGTTTTTAATTGTAAGAACAAGATTGTAAACATACCTAGGTTGTTGATTGTACTGGTCACTGGTCACTAGTCACTGATTGATCACTAAACTAAAAATATAAATTATGAATAAGTAACTAGCTCATTTAGGTATTAAAATTAGAAATCTTTAATGTACATATTAATTTATAAATAACATAATGTAGTTCTAATTAATGTTAGAATTGAAAAGTTAAAAAAATGCTGCAACTTCTTAAAAATATATACTTAGTTATAATAGGCAGTATTTTAAAATATATTTTCAATAATGAACATTGCTTAGTGACAATAAATCACCATTATAACTTACTTATTGAAATATTCTGCTATTAAAGTTCCACGTTCAGAACTATAATTGGTATCTATTGTATTGTTGGTAGGTACTTCTTCAGCATCTGGAATGGTGATCTCGGAGGGCAAATCATCGAGACTTCTTTGGCGACAGATGTTATGAAGTACAGCGGTTGCTATTACAATTGAATTTACTCGAGGAAGACTCAATCTCATAGTTAGCGCCATAACTGGGAATCTACGCTTCCAGATGCCAAAACACCTATAGATTAAAAACAAAATACTTTTAAAATTCTAATGAATATATTTTAAATGCATTACTTCTATGAAAATTTTTTAAAGGTACCTTTCAATAGTGTTTCTGGTTTTAATATGAGCTTCATTATACAATTGCTCACCAGCAGTTACTGGGTTCAATAATGGTGTCAAAAGATAGGGCTTTAATGGATATGCACTGTCACCAAGTAACCAACGATTTCCAAAGCAATTACTTTCACATTGAGCTAAAAATGAAATTATAATATAATGATTTGAATTACTTATCACAAATAAATAGCTATTAATGTAAATAATGTAAAATTATTTATTATATTAGGATGATAATACATTTAATTTTTAATTAATTTAATTAGGAAACTTATAGCTTTGTTGGGTAAATTATGATTATTGTTTTTTTTTTTATATAAAATAGTTTCTTTTAATAATACTAATTTTACTTTTTTATATGCACATAGAATAGTTTATATAATAATACTAATTTACCTTTTAGTACAGAATTGTTGAATATAGTAGCATCATGGGCTGAACCTGGCCAACGAGCCACAACATTCATAAAAAATAATTTGGCATTGCACACTGCTTGCACATTTAATGAAAAATAGCCTTTTCTGTTTCGAAATTCCTCTCCAATCTGAGAACCTATGAGAAAAAGTTATAAACAAGTAAGTTGTATTGTGTATTATGAAATAAAGTGCCAAAATATTATAAGGACCTAAAAGTATACTAAGTTTGTTAAATAAGAATTGTAATGTAAAAAATACTTACATGGAGATTGTATTCGGATGTGTGTTCCATCAATTGCACCCAGAACCCGTGGAAATTGTGAAATCAAATAAAAATCTTCTTCAGTATTATTGTGCATATAAATATATTTGTTATACAATTGTGCAATAGCACAACTAACATTACATACAATGCGACAAGCTGTTGCTTTGGATACGCCTGCAAAATCAGCTACTGATAGTAACATTGTACCCAAAGCATAAAACCTTAGAACTAATAGCAACTGATGTAAAGGAGATACACCATAATTCCTGAAATAATAAATACATTTTGTAATGTTACAATTTTACTCGTTTATTATTTTATTAAACCACAATTAAGTACTGACCTGGCTCCTGTAACTTTAAGAAAGGGATAAATTTCAATTAATATTTGTTCTACAGATGATTTGTCGAGCCGAAACCTTATTTGAAACTCAAAGTCATCTAATATTGTTAAGTAGTCCGGTCTTGTTTTATAAACTTTAGAACGCCTATTTTCGTCATTTGTATCAGAGTCTTCCCAGTCTGATAACAAGTTCAACATTTCTATATCACTTTCTGAACTACTACTCATTTTGTTATTAGGAAAAAGTGATATAAAAATTACAAACTTCGTGAAATATAACAATCGGTACGCAACAACCGATCAAAATTGGCGGGTTGACAAAATACCTACGGACAGTAAGTTTGACAGCTCTACCGACGGATACATTTTTTATTGAAACACCTTTTGGCGCCATTTTCATACATTTTGCCTACGAACGGTTATCAGTATCAGATCAATCCGTTAGTAGCACACCGTCGGTAGCTTTACCTACCGATGGTATGTTATTGAAACACTTTTTTGCTACCATCGGTAGGAAATGCTACGGATGGTAGCAAAAACGGGTAGTTTTTTGGTTATTGAAACCGGGGGTTAATAAGGTAAGGAGTGCTTACAATACGCGTTTTAATATTATTAATAACTGACGGACAGACTAAATAAGGTTATCATACCTATTGACATGTATGTAGGAATATATCGTAGAAATCGTAGTAGAGTTTGAAATAGATATTTATAAAGTGCGGACGTTTCCCTTCAAGGAAAATTTATTATAACGATTTTGAAGTCAGTAAAAATTCATAAGTAAGTAAGTTACAATATAATTATTTATTTGAGAATTACATTAAAAATATATATGTAGTAAAAATGTATGAAAAATAGAAAATGAGTACATAGGCACCGTACCTATACATAATTCAGGTCGACAGTTGTACGACTAATTATTTATCAAATCGTATTTTTACATTATAATTTATATTTTATTTATATATCTTAAAATATTTAAGTTAACTTTATCCCAACAAATATTATAAACAAGATGGTAACCCTGTCCGTCTGTTTGTTTCACTTTCACGTCTAAACCACGGAATTGACTTTAATATTTGGGTACAGTCAACAATACGTAAGGCTATACAGAACTATCAAATTACTTTACAAAATCTTAATTTTCAAATTCCTTAATTTTAAACCTTATTGCCTTGGGGGTAGACACCAAAATCAATTGAGATAATTTGACATATTGTGGTAGCCTGACATGCTGTCATGTGTACAATTAATTGTTTTAGCGAAAATAGAAATACAAAATTTCAACTGTCTGTCTTTTACGATTCATGAGAAACAGCCAGCACGTAACATGACGAACTCG